TATTTATTGTTAACTATTTATTATCTTTTATAACCATTTAATGCAATGATTACCTCGATCTTTTTCTTTAATATTAAACATTACTTCAGTCTCATCATTATCATCAACCTTTTTGAACTTTTTCATGCCTTTTCCTTTATCATTATTATCATTACTAGAATCTAATATTAATTAATTAATTAAGAATAATTGAAATTATAAGTAATGAATTAGTGATTGGTAAGTTTCAAATCAATAAGAATTTAATTTACCTTGTGAACTTTTGTAGCTAGTTCTAGCAATATTATTTTTCTGTTTATTTCGGCAAGATTTTTTTGTTTTATTATTAGCATTGCTTGTAGGAGGAATTATTGGTTCACTATTTATATCTGCCAACCATTCAAACATCATCATTTCTAAATTTTATGATTAGTTATTTATTGTTAACTATTTATTATCTTTTATAACCATTTAATGCAATGATTACCTCGATCTTTTTCTTTAATATTAATTAATTAATTAAAAATAATTGAAATTATAAGTAATAAATTAGTGATTGATAACTTTCAATTAATTAATTAATAAGAATTTAATTTTACCTTGTAAACTTTTATAACTAGTCCTAGCAATATTATTTTTCCATTTATTTCGGCGAGATTTTTTTGTTTTATTATTAGCATTACTTGTAGGAGAAATTATGGGTTCATTATTTATATCTGCCAAACATCCAATAATTGAAATTGGAAGTAATAAATTAGTGATTGGTAACTTTCGATTAATTAATAAGAATTTAATTTACCTTGTAAACTTTTATAACTAGTACTAGCAACATCATGTCTAATGTTTAGGCATAAATTTTGTATATTTTGGGAGGTTTTTTTTGTTACATTACTTGTAGGAGGAATTATAGGTTCACTATTTATATCTGCTAAGCATTCAAACATCATTTCTAGTTAATTAATTAAGAATAATTGAGATTGTAAGTAACGAATTAGTGATTGGTAATTTCAATTAATTAATAAAAATTTAGTCCACCTTGTGAATTTTTATAACTATTGTCTATTTGTTTGATTGTTTTTATTTCGCTACTTGTTTTAGCTAAGATTAATTAATTATAAAAATTGCAAGTAATAAATTAAAATTAGTAATTTTCAATTAATTAATAAAACATTAATTCATACCTTCTAAATTTTTATAACTAGAAATAGCATCATCCAATATTTTACTTTTGTGATATGCTAATGAATGTGATCTCTGTATATTATTATTATCATCATCATGATTTGAATTACTTGAAGTAGAAATTCTAAGTTCACTATTTATAGCTTCATCATTATAAACTTTTGTTAAACATTCCTCGGAAAAATCAAGTAATTCTTTAATAGTTGGTCTATTATATGAATAATCGTCCCAACACTGGCACATCATTTCTACATATTCTCCTGGCATTCCTGACAATATTGGTGGCCGTAAACCTTCACATATATGTAACATTAAGAAATGATTATGAGCCCTATCATCAAATGGTGGATGGCCTGCAAATATCTCCCACATCAACATTCCAACGCTGTAAATATCCGACTCTTTTGTATGTCTTACTCCTCGGAAAATTTCAGGTGCTATGTATGGCACAATTCCATAAATTTTATTTGATAACTTTTCATCAATTGGTCCACATAATCCTAAATCTGTAATATAGCAACCACCCCCTGCTACTAATATATTACCACTGTGTAAATCACAATGCATTAAATCTTCTTCATGTATATCATATAATGAGCAACACAAATAATTAAACATTATAATTCTGTCTCTTAATGTTAAATTAGAATGATTTTTTCGTAAATAATCCCTTAAACTTCCATCTGGAACATAATTTAAAACCATCGCATAATTTCCATTTTCTGGGAATTGTGTTATGCCATAATAATCAACAATCAAATTTGATTTAACTGTACAATAATCCAATATCTGAGATTATATATATAATTGTATTCAATAATATAATATTTATTTTCATTTCGTTTAGAAGAAATTACTACTGACCTTATCAAAAAAACACTTTCCAATTCCATTCGATTCATTTAGTAATTTTAATACTACAATTTGAGATCCAACATAACTAAACTCTTCAGAATTTCCTCCTTTCAAATCAAAGATACGTCCTCTTGTCCATACTGCAGTATAAATACTACTAAACCCTCCTTTTGACAAATATTTTACATTTTTAAATTGATCATAAGGTATCCATTCCATTATACTACGTGGAAGAGATGAAAGCATTTGACATTTTTGTATAAATTCATCAACAATCTTATTTCCAGAAATCCAGATATTGAAACAACTTTTTAAACGTAGACCAATACAATGTTCACAAAACCTAGTTGAATATTTTATAGACTTACACCGTTTACATTTTTTTGATTTGCCTATTTTATAAATTGCATTATTTAGTTGAAAGTCATAATTAAATCTTTTCTTACAATAACGTCTATGCTTTTCTGATAACTCATTGTTTCCAAGTACTAATGATAAAAATGTAGTCTTTTGAGCTTTTCTATAATTATCATTAATATCAATTGCTTCCGATTTATGGAACATTTGACTATATGCTTCATGTGCAAATTTTTTTCTACTATCTTTTGCTATAACATTTTCAGCCATTTTCATTTTTAATAATATTTAACTTCTCAGCGGGAGAAGATTAAATCAAATTGATCTAACCATAATGGATAGATCGCACAACACTCAACTATTATATATTATATATTGAGAGCTAGCCAAATCTGGAAATTAACCGCAGATAATTTCTAAAATTAGACTAGTTTAATGTTGCGCGGTCGAATTTTCAATTACACATTTTTTGAATAATAATGAATATTATCCAAACTATTCATCCAGCCTTTAAAACTAATATAGTAAAATGATAAATATGTTTAATCATTCATTGACAATTTTACTAAGCATCAAGATAATCGGTAATTTATGTTTGCTTTTTTCTTAAGGAATAAATATAAATATAAATAGAAACAAATGAAAATAAATTAATAAACATTTAATAAATCAATATATTAAAAGGTTGTCTATCAACAATTTTCCAACTTTTAACCTTATCATCCCACTTATTATTTAATCTGTTTTGTCATACTTCAGGATCATTAATGTCAAGGTCATTACTTTTTGGTTTTAATTTAGAAATTTCAGTGTTTGATACACTACTTGTATGATATGCTAATGGGTGTGATTATACATGAAGTTGAAATTAAAACCCTAAAGTCGAAATGTTTTGACTTGAGGCAACTACATAGTAAAAATCAGTTTTGACCTTATTTTGACCCTATTTCAACCAGATCTGCAAATGGTCAAAATAGTTTCGACTTTATGTATAGGTGCGACCTATGAATTTGTTGTGGATTACTATTATTATTACCACTGCTACTGTTATCACCACCATCTCCAATATCACTGCTATTTTCAAGACTTTCAGTTTTAAATTTATTATTAGCAAATTCCAAAAGCTCTCTAATAGTTGGCCTCTTAGTTGAATTCACATTCCAACACCTTTGCATCATTTGTGCATAATCATCAGGCATTCGTGGTAATATTGGTGGTTGCAAACTTTCACATATATCTAACATTAAGCAATGATTATGGCCCCTATTATCAAATGGTGGATGACCTGCAAATATTTCCCACATTAACATTCCAACACTATAAATATCTGTTTCTTTGCATCCTTATTTCTCTATGTAGTTCTGGTGCAACATATGAGATAATTCCATAGATTTCATTTGATAATTTTTCGTCAACTGGTCCACATAATTCTAAGTCTGTAATAAAAATATTACCCCCTTTTATTAATATATTACCACTATGTAGATTACAATGGATTAAATCTTTTCTTTTGTATATCATATAATACTCCACATAAATATCTAAAGATTGTAAATTAGAATGATTTTTTTGTAAATAATCCCTTGGATTTCCTTGTGGAAAATAATTTAGGAACCATTGCAAAATTTCCATTTTCTGGGAATTTGGTTATACCAAAACAAGGAACAATTAAATTTGATTTAACTTTACAATAGTTCAATGCCTGTAATTAATTGTATAAATAAAATCAATTGATTTAAAATAAATGGCCTAATTTAGTTTAATTTAAATAAGATCAATTGCCTCATCAAAAAAAGGTTTTCCTGGATTATTTCAATTATTTAATGATTTTAATACTACAGGCTGAGCTCCCAAATAACTAAACTCTTTTTTATTTTCATTATAATAATGAATTCTTCCTCTTGTCCACACAGCAACATAAATTGAACTGAATCTACCTTCTGTCAACTTTTTTATATTTTCAAATTGCTCATAAGGTATCCATTCTATAATTTTATTTGGAAGAGATGAAAACTGTTGACATTTTTGAATAATAAAAAACTATCAATTATCTCATTTCTGGATGTTCAAGTATTGAAAAGGCTCTGTAAGTGTAGACTAACACACTTTTCACAAAATCTATTGCTGTTTTACACTTGTCATATTCTCTTGGCTTACTATTACCCTTTTTATAAATTGCATTCTCTATTTAAGCTCTGAATGGTTCGGTTTGGTTCGGTTTAATGCCCAATCCAAATTTTTAAAGGCCAAACCGAAAAATTTCAGATATTCTAAATTCGTTAGCTATGGAAAATATACATAATAACTTCAAAAATTATAATAACTTGTAGCTTAGTTTTAGCAAATGTGTTGCGAAGTAGAGATCCTGTTTCTAAATACATACATAATCTATAATTTTTATACTATGGTAACAGGCTGATTTGAGTTTCTTTAAAATGGCAATGGCTTTATCCAGGCTGTCAACGGTGGCTTCCTCTTCGGTAATCTCTTGTCAAGCTAACGATAGCCCATTTCTTCCCACAAAAATTTGTACAAATCTTTATCATTATTCGAATTATTCGAATTATTCACTTTATTCGTTCTATTCGAATTATTCGTTTTATTCACTTTATTATCATTTTATTCAAATTACTCGTTTCATTCGTTTGTTCGTTTTATTCGTTTCATTCGACTAAACTCTCAATTTAATTCGAATACTCAAATTCATAACGAACGAAACAAATAATTCGAATAGAAATCTAGGGAATATAAAATTCATCGTCTCCGCAAACTTTTAAACTCTTATTGTTTAGGTTCTAAAATACAACGCCTTTGAGTAAGTAAGTCTATGTCTCCAGGAAAAAACTCGTTCACTGGTTGTTATTAGGTTAGAAATTAATAAATTTAATTCTAAATAAGCAGAATGCAAAATGAGAATACCAGGAAACGCCAAGTAATTTTTAGCCTAAAGCTCTGAACCGAAATTTTTCGTTTGACTTTTTAGAAATCGAAACAGAACCGAAATTCTTCTGTTTGAATCGAACCGTTCGGAGCTTTATCTCTAATTCAAAAGCATGAATATAATTTTCTCTATAATAATTTTTCATTTTCCAATAGTTCTCACTTATTTGATTTTCACTGCAATATTATACATTTCTCAAATAATTTTATATATTAATTCTTCTCTATCTGATGCTAATAATATTGCTTTTACAAGAAAAGTTATCAAACTTCTGTTTAAAAAGATGATTTTTGTATTATGTAATGTATAATATAGTAATAGAGTATTATTATTAACTAACATTAATTTAATTGCTCCCAAATTTTTTTTTTAATCGAAAATATTTAGTACTTGTGCTGATTACAAATAAAATAATACATTTTTTTTTTTGTAGTTACGTAACAATTCATGTCTCTAATGTAGAGAGCTCTCATTATGAATTCGATGTACTTGTGAGAAGAAAATAATAACAGGTTTCGACTTGAGAAATAACCAAATAATTCATTAGTAAATACCATATTTCGTTTTCCCAAAAATTCAATTGGTGATAATACTCACTCTATTTATGCATCAGCCAGGAAATTTTTAACTCATTTAAAAACCGTAAAGAATGAAGGAGTATTTATTTGATGCTCTTTTCTCCCTCTTAGCAAATAAATAATGTCAATGTTTATTATTATTAATTGTTATTATTGTAAAATAAGTAATTTTCTTTACTGGTGAACTATCAGGAAGGATGAAGTAACGTGTAAAAGGTTGATCTCGGATATGGAGGGCAATAAATCAGTTAATGAAGCGAAATTTCTTTTATCATTCCATTAACGTGTAAAAATTGCTCTCGAGTCTATAATTCACTTTCTTTAGTTCATTATATCGGGGAATTGTGCGCTTTCTCCAATCTATTTAACATATTTTCCGGTTGCAATGGGCTTGACTTTGGATTTTGGTGCTTCGGGTTCTATTAGGCCTGAACCGTCATTTCCTGGCAACGGGATTCCATCTGCATACCATGATGCTGGGTAGCTCACTGCTGTGTATCATCGAGGCTCTAAAGTATCTTGCCAATGTAGCTGAGTGCTTGTTTTATATATGCATACTTTTTTTTTTCAACTTACCTTATTAAATTTGACCCCTGTAATTGTGTGGTATGCCCTGTATATATATAAATTTTCTATCTTACATTCTTTAATTTTATTTCATTTTGATTTTTATTTCTTATTTTTGTCTCAGTTAGATTTAAATCGTTAAATTTTAACAAAAGATTTCACTTACATATAATAATAATAACGAAAATTATACATTGAATTCAGAAAAAAATTATTTTATGAATAAAGGAATTCAATTTGATTTTTTGTTAAAGGTATAATTTTAACAAAAACAATTCATGTAAATTTATAATTTAAAAAACCCTGATCTTGATATGTGTTTAACAAATTTACTAGACCATCTTCCAAGTTATGCTTGATATTTTTTTTGTGAATCTTATTAGAAATATTTAATGTAAAAGGTTTAGGCCCTTTCCAACTAATCATTAGGTTCTCCAGTGATTCATCAGAAATATCAGTTGGTGTTTCAAAAATTATTGATTTTAATTGTTTTAGTGAAGTTTGACTTAACAATTTCAATATGATATTTCCATCCAAATTACATTCTTCCCATTTATAAAAAAATTTAATCGATTTTAAATTTGTGCAATTATTAAAAATTTTGAGTAATTCTTGATCAAATTCATTTTTATAAAATAAACATAAATTTTCCAAATTTCGACAATTTTGACCAATTGTCTCGATAAGTTCTCCTAAACATTCTCTATCGTGTATGTTGTTGACTTTCAGAGATTTAAGGGTGCTTCCATTAATTTTAAGGAAATCTGATGAATCCCGAGTAGATGTGCCATAGAAATGCAAACCTTTAATCTTTGGATAAAAAATAGATTTGATATTTTCCAAAATTTCCTGATCACAAAGTAAAATTTCTAGATTTTTAAATGTTGCTGGCAATGATAAAGTATTTAAAGAATGTGAATTATCTCTTCCAGTAATTGCATAATCAACTATTGAGTTTGAATGAGTTAATATTGCTTCTTTAATTTCATTTGATATAGACACACTATTAAATTTATTATTTGAATAAAAATGTATTTTTTTAATTTGATACTGTGCTTTAATTAGTTTTGCCAAGTTGAGTTCAACATCGTCCACTTCCAAAAATTCATCGTTACAATCTATTGTAAAAATTTGAATATTTTTACAAACATCTGCTAATTTACCTGAAACTTCATAACCAGCACTATGTTCAAAATCGAATCTATAAAGATTCTGAAAACAAGCGTTGAATCTATGGTGGTTAATCATCCAGCCACCATCTTCCCAATAAACACCTCTAAGCTCTCTGATAGTTGAATGATTGAAAATGAAACACAATAATCTATATTTAACTAAGTCAAGGTTACCGTCATATATCAGCTTTCTCAAACGATTTTCACAATCTGAAATATCTAAATCAGTTATAAATTTAGCATAGTTGTATAATGGCGGTTTCTTCAATAATTTAAACTTTATTTTGATGTCATTTTTTACTAAGAAATCCTTGTCTTCTACTAACAAGCAATCGATTAATATTTTGGCGCTTTTAATAGAATAAAATGGATCTTTCCATAAAGTTGTAATATTAATATTAAGACATTGTTTATTTAATAGTATGCAAGAGTGTAATGTTTTATAATCATACTGAAGGTGATTGAATATTTCACATAAAAGTTCAAGCGGTATAAACATCTTTTTTATTTTTTTGGAGGAAAAAACAATTTTTGTGTTGCACAACACCTATTTATAAAGGGAATTGCTATATATTTCTCACCGGTGGTGATTGTCATCACCTAAGGAATTATACAATTTATGATTAACCCCAACCCTAACTCCGCCCCACGCAAATTTAATTCCTTAGGTGGTGACAATCATCACCGGTGAGAAATAGCAATTCTCATTTATAAAAATTTGTAAACAAATAACTGATTGTTATTGATTTTCTTTGATAATTTAAGTTGTAAGATTTCACCTACCCATTACAAGATTTCAATATTTCATCTAAATCTTGTCTTGTTTTAATATGAGCAGCTAAGATACAAAAATCTAGCTCTAGATGAGATCATTGGCATGACAGGATGTGCAACAATAACTACAGCAATGTTTGATGTTAGACATTCTCTTGAGAAGACGGGTATTTTAGCAGGGTTGAATAGCGGTAATGGGATGATTGACGAGTCAATATCATCATCATATATGATGAAACCCATTCTTCTCAAATTAGTACTCAAATATCTATCTATCATTAAATGCCAATTTTTTCCAATCTCACCTTGCCTTCTCCATTTGTTTGCATCATCTTCACCACCAATAATAATTGACATCAAGGTGTAGATTCGTTGCAGTATTAGTATTGATTCAGCATAGACTGACTGACGCATGTTTTCTCAATCAAAAATTATCAATAATCTCTTTTGACGATGCAATGTATTATCAGCAGCATCAAATGATTTTGTATAGAGGTTGGAATCGTCCAAAAAAATCCTTAGTCGACCACTAGTTGGCCAAAATTTCTTTAGTCGACCAAATTTTTTTTTAATAATAATATTTCATTTTTTTTTTTAATTTGTAAATTACGAATTCATTTCCATTTGAATCTTTCGCTTTTTCAAAATACTTCCACACAAAACCATGTGTTACGATTCGTTTTTTTAAAGATCTTCTGGAACCATCGCTTAAATCATTGGACCTTTTACCGAAAGTGTTTATTGGTTCACATGTAAAATTATCATCAACAACAACGCCACCATTGTCGTCATCATCATATTGATGGTATTGCATAGAAATTTTCCATTTTGAATGATAAAGCACAAAAATCGTAATTGGTCAGACAATAATAATATTAGCATAGTATTAATATCATTAGCATTAGCATTAGCATTAGTAATATTAGTAGTCTACTAAGATACTCGACTATTAGTTGTTCAAAAAAAAGTTTAGTTGACGACTATTTTAGTCGATTCTAACCTCTAATTTTGTAAATGTTTCCATCAAAATATCAACCTTGTCAGGATTTACATATATCATAATAATCTCATACGCTTATACCTCTTGGACCCAATGATTTTATACTATATATGCCTTATCAACATACAAATAAATAATGCATTATTTAATTTGGATTTCCCAAGTAATAATAAAATAGCAAACCTTTTTTACTTTATGTTTTCTAATGACTTGGCAGATTACATATATTATCTTCCATGAATGAAGACATTCGACAACCAATAAATCTTTTTCCAAGGTTGATGGGTTTCTATTCAATAAAGTTTCCGGATATTATATTTGAAAACCAACCAGGAAAATTAGTACTATTAATAGTCATAACTTATTGAAATGCCCATAGTGGCAAGTTTACCGACGAATCCGACATCAACGCTTCTTCTTGTAAATGAAAATCATCCAATGTACCAACTTCAGTTCTTGAACTACCAGATGAAGTACCATATTTTCAACTGTTTGTTCAACAACATCAGCACATAGACCTTCATTCTGAACAGATCCGAATAATTGATCTAAACAATCTTTGGTTTTGCTAGCCAATTGAAAAGTTTACAGTGATCTTTTGTCTCTCGTTCAAGCAATGTAATTTTTCTACCAGGTAGGTACTCATTAATTCATAATTTTATTCTTATATAGAGATTATCAAAATGTTGAGAAAATAAATAAAAAAGATAACAATTTACGAGGTATTAATATTATATATATTCTTGTCCTTTTTAAAAATCTTTTTCCATAAACATGACCAAAACAAATAGGTATTAAATATGATAAATAAGTAGTAAACAAGTAATAGTATTAGCATGGTGATTCTTTTTCGCCTTTTGTTATTATCATCGTTTTCATTATTATTATTAATATTATTGGTATTACATAAAATTTATTTTTGTTTGTTGCTGTTATTAACTTAAAAATAAATTATCTCTTTTGTTTATGATATTTGTTTGGACCAGATTTGGAAAAGAAAAATGAAAGAGTGAATACAATTCGCGGTTATTTTAGTTATTTTATAAATAAAGCATGTAGTGTAAACTTTCTTTGACCTTCAAATAATAATCCTCACATGATTTCTATATTGAATTTTATTATTTATATTTAGTTTTATTTCCCTTCCCTTTTTTTTAAAAATTAAATTAATTGATTATTGAAATCATCAACAGCCATAATTAGAATTTGAAATAAAAACAGAAATGTCTCAAAGTAAAAATTCTGCTTATGATTATCTTATTAAACTTTTATTAATTGGAGACTCGGGTAAATAAATAAATAAACAAGTAAATAATAAAATAAATAATATCTTTAATGATATTTAATGTTTTACGACTATTAAACATTAAAAAAATTAATATATACAAATAGGAGTAGGAAAAAGTTGCCTCTTGTTTCGCTTTTCGGATGATTCATTTACACCTTCGTTTATTACTACAATTGGTATCGATTTTAAGATTAGAACAATTGAATTAGATGGAAAACGAATCAAGCTTCAAATTTGGGATACTGCTGGTCAAGAACGTTTTCGTACAATCACCACCGGTAACTAATTAATGATTTTGGAATTGAACTCGTAAGAGAAGAAGATTTAGTTATTAATGTTTATCATATTAATATTAATAATAAATTATTTAATTATTCAGCTTATTATCGTGGGGCAATGGGAATACTTTTGGTGTATGATGTAACGAGTAAACAATCTTTTAACAGTAAGTATCTTTAACCAACCAATAAACATTAATTAATTATAATTATAAATAAGATGTTTATCTATTTCTACATATGTATAAAATGACTTCAGATATAAGGAATTGGGATTCAAATATAGAACAACACTCAAGTGAAGGAGTTAACAAGATTCTTATTGGTAATAAATGTGATTGGGCTGAAAAAAGAGAAATTAAGAAAGAACAAGGTCAAGAACTTGCCGATGAATTAGGGATTGATTTTTTGGAAACTAGTGCTAAATCTAGCATCAATGTGGAAGAGGCTTTCTTCACTTTAGCGAGGTAAAAATTTGGAATGAATGAGCGAGAAGACTTTTTTTAATTTATTTCTAATTGATTAATTTTCTACATGGCTACTTATTTAGAGCTATAAAGAAAAGACTTATTGATGCACACGCCGAAGAACAACAAAATCATCAAAACAAACGACTTGAATTGGATAATAATAGGCATCTTAAATCTAGCTCTGGATCAAGTTGTTGTGGTTAATCTTGATAAATGTATACAATTAATAATAATAATAATAATAATAATAATAATAATAATAATAATAATCTTAGACTTAATATTTATTGTTATATTGTAATCAGGTTTGATATTGTAATTGTAATTGTAATAAATCAAGCTATTAATTTAATTCCTAAGCATATAAATTTAATCTTTTGAATTCTAAATTATTTATGCCGATTTATATAATTTTCATCAAAAAGACATTTTAACGTTATTTTATTGCCACAATCACATAAGGACTGATTAATATTTATTTAATATTGAATGTTATTTAGAGAGAGATTAAAACTCGGGCTTAAACTTCAAGTTCTAAATTCACGTGACCACGAAAATTTATTATTGTTGCAACTAACATGAAGAAAGGACTTTAACAAACAAATGTAATTGGAATAATCCGTTTATACGCATTTGTATATAACCTTGGATTAAACCTAGACTATGAAATTATTAAATAATAGGTCATAGAGTGTAAAAAAATATTGATTTCATGATCGAATAATTACATCATTTGACCATTGGGAACAAATCCTACCGGAACGTAAGAATACATTCTGACAATATATCCACGTTCAAGAGCTAATGCTAATTTTCAGCATCGTACACTAAGGTTTACCATACAAATCTATTTGATAATTGGTATTTCTTATAGTTTGACCAACATGGAGCATCATAATATCTATCTGGCAGAAGATATTCATCCACATGTATATCCAGATTGAGCGAACGCTCCATATATTTTGCACATCCGATCCAATTTTTCTGTATGATCAAAAAATAAAGCCAAATCAACGATCGATTGGATTATAGTGTGACGCATTTATTTTAATCTAAACTCGTGCATGTTCTATTCGGGAGTAGAAATATTTAAGTAACATTGCTTAATTATGTATTTGTATAAAAACCCTTATTTATACTGCGACGCGTTCCAATTTGGAAAACCACTCATATAGTTAAAAAAACAAAATCCCGAATGGACATAACTTATTGTTTTGATTATGATGAGCTATTAAGCAACTTCGAATAAATTATAGATATAGTAGAAATGCATTATTATTATTATTATTTTGCGCAATATGCAAGTTATTGGTGCAGTAATGTGACGTAGTAAGTTCAGAATCAACTAATTAAAAAAAAACTTTCCTTCAAAATAAAAACCCATCATTTTTTTTTTTTACAAATTAAAAACTGTCACCAAGATTTCTCCTTTTATTATAAAATTAAATCTTGTTTGAGTTATCTTCCGTGCCTGAGTTCGAAGCACACATATACAGGTCAACATTAATATGTAGAGCAATTTTTACATACACACGAGTTGTGTTGACTTGATTTTTTTTCGAATTTGACTTTAAGTAATAATAATACACTATAATATTATTAATAAAACAAAAATACGATTGAGCTGTCTTTAGTATCCGACTTTGAAACAACATGGACCGATCAATGTTGGTACATAGAATGACTTTTACGTAGCACATAGGACAGGTTTTTGAAGCAGATTTTGCAAGTTTTAAAAATAGAATGCTGAAATTCTTTTATTGTGGTTGAATCACGATAAATCAATCACTAGAGTTTGATGAGAATGAAGTTGTCCTTTAAATAATTCAATTTCGTTTTTCAATTTTTCAAGATTTATATTAATTATTTACCAATTAATCCTATTAAGGACAATAAACTATTTTACCTCCCCATTGTAACAATATGTGAATTATTATTATTATTATTATCATCTTGCACGCAATTTAATTCTCGCAAGAAAAAGGAAATCAAAAAAAAATCACCAAGTCAAACTTTATATTTTATATTTTATATAATGTCATATGTTAACCGATTATTACTATTATCACCAGAAAGAAGGGAATTTGTATTTAAATTTTATATTGAAACACTTAATAATGCCAATGTTAATACTGATAGGGAAAATAGAAAAGATTATTTTTTTTCATCAGTCAAAGAAAACAGGGAGCTTTCTGAAAATGAAAAAGAATATTGTAGGGAAAAGTTTATCTATTATTTTGAATTACATAATGCAATTTACAAGTTGGGCGAACCAAAAAAATGTAATGGGTGTGAATCAACAAGATACTCTGATAGGTTCTGTGAAGGTTGTATTGGTTTACAATTACGGAGCACTACTTGGACATCGGGAAATAAAATAATTGATGATTTTATTAAACAATGTCAAATGATATCATCTCTACCAGGATATATTTTAGAATGGATACCTTATGAGAAATTTGAAGAAGTGACAAAGTTGACAGAAGGTGGATTTAGTTCAATTTATAAAGCTATATGGACAAGAGGAACTATTGGTGATTATGATGAAATTAAAAAGGAATTTAGTTATTTAAAAGGGCAACTAGTAGTATTAAAAAATTTAAATGATTCAAGTGATCCAGGAAAAGCCTTTTTTGATGAGGTTGGTAGTTGTCATATAAAATGAAACAAACAATGCTATTATATAATACTAATTGGTTTTATTTTTAATTACAGGCAATAAATTATTCTAAAATTAAATCATGCTCAATTGTTCAATGCTATGGTATAACTAAATTTCCAAATAATGGAAATTATGCAATAGTTTTAAATTATTATTCAGAAGGAAATTTAAGGGATTATTTGCAAAAAAATCATTTAAATTTAGCATTAAAAGACAGAATTACAGTTTTTTATTATTTATGTTATGCATTAGATGATATGCACAAAAAAGATTTAATCCATTGTGATTTACATAGTGGTAATATATTATTGCAAGGAGGTGGTTGTTATGTTACAGATTTAGGATTATGTGGACCAGTTGATGAAGGATTATCAAATAAAGTCTATGGAATTATACCATATGTTGCACCTGAGTTACTTAGAGGCACAAGTAATGTAAAAAGCACAAAAGAAACAGATATTTACAGTGTTGGGATGTTAATGTGGGAAATATTTGCAGGTCATCCACCATTTGATGATAGAATTCACAACCATTGTTTGATTTTTGATATATGTGCAAAAGGTTTACGACCACCAATATTACCTGAAATACCTGATGATTATGTGCAAATGATGCAGAGATGTTGGGATGTGGATCCATCAAAAAGACCAACTAGTGAAGAGCTTTATAATTTTGCTGATAATAAACTAGAAGAAATTATTAAAAATATTAATGATAATTATAGTAATAATGTTACTAGTAATGGTAGTGATTCACAACAAGCACATAAATCACATCCAGATGCTTATCATAAAAGTAGAATATTAGATGACGAGATTAAAAGTTATAATAGTAATAGTTCATTAAATAATCTTGATATTAATTCTTTTCTCTAAAATGTTAACAATGGTGAATAAAAATCTCATTATTAATTGATTGGTATTAATAATAATATTAATTAATTAGTTAATAAACATTAGATCCTAGTAATAATTGATGAGTGACTAATTTAATCTCTGCTATAAATTTATTATTACCTTTTATTTATCTTTTTATTTTATCCTTATTTTGTTTCTTAACTAAATTATAATAATGTTTTGAAATGGGGCATACTGCAACAAAACCAGACAAAGTGAACATTGGTATTACCAAGAATTTCAGGAATCAAAATTTAGTCATTTGTAATGTGATTATAATTATCAGTTTTAATAATATCCCATTTGTTATCTTAAGTGATATATAGGATTACCTCTATATAAAAATAGTTAATATGAACTAATTTATGTCAGATCCACTACGGAAGAATTATAAAGACAGATAATTTAAAATTGGATTAATAATATCCTAAAAATGTATTTTTACTACACAATGTTAGTATTAGCATTAGTATGTAGTTCCAACATTCATTCATTGTTAAATTCTATAACACCCCGGTTAAATAATTCACATGAATATTTATTAATTTTATAAAAAAAATTTTTATATATTTGTAATTTTCATATTTTTCTTAATAATTGTTCGAATTTAAGTCTATAATTGTTTAATAGAGCCCGGAAATATGTGTAATATAAGCAAAATATTTAATAAAAAATCATATTTAATAAAAAAACTAAAATATTTACTTCTAAACTTATGAAATCTCTTAATGCTCCGGAAAGGACATCAAAATTTTGTAGGTTTTTCGGAAAAATTCCATGAAAAATCTTTTTGAAACAATATAATTCAATTGCATCAAATAGATGCTATAATGCAACCCTATATTGTATTGACAATAAAAATTAACTTATAGTTTTAATGTTTAAGCAAATAAAACATTTACCAGAAGTAACGATTCCGAACACAGCCAAAGTCGTAATTTCTTCCCCTTTTCCTTCGTCCTTTAAAATTTCGTGGAGTTTATTAATCATATCATAAAGTAAAATTGATAGTTTTTTTGTATCATCCAAATTTTTTCTCTTCCCTGTAATCGGATCTTTTTTCCCGCATTCTACGACTATGATTTCAAGATCCCTTTTAAATAACTTAATTATCATGTCAGGAATTAGAGCGGTTTTGATCCTATCATCTTCTGTTAACATTGAATTTCTCCTTTCTTTATTGGCTAATAATTCACTGCAATTCGGAACAACTAAAACAACGTTAATATTTTGTAAGACTTTATAAAAATAAAAAAATGCCGTTTTGATTTTAAGTAATGTTTATCTTTTCTGCAAAAAAGTTTGTTCATTATGGAGAAATATAAGATTGAAATATAATCATCTTCTGACATATCATTAAAACTTCCAAATTTATGAACTTGACATACTCTAAAAAATGATTAATATTATTTATTTAATTCAAGATATTGATTTATTAAAAGGATTATTATTCTTACATATTTTCGGTGACAACCCTGATAAAATTTTTTATGATGATCTCTATATCATCACTCAAAATATTTTCGTCTCTTTTCCATTATTGTACCAAAATACTAATTTCATCCAAATTTTCTACACTTTCCAGTTCTAAGCATTTGAAAAATCATGCCTCCTTTCAAAAACTCACAACCAATTATTTCCAAGTCAAAATCCAATTTTTCTTTGATTTGATCGAATTTTTCGTTTTTATTATCGTAGACAAAAATTCCAAGTTTTATTAAATCTCTAAAAGTAATAATATAATTAGTTAGATGTTAGATGCTATAAATAGAATCATTTAGCAAAACATTCTTGCCTTCACTATAAACTGGTACAAGCAGATCTGCAAAATCGTATATTGACTTTATAGCAAAAATCAAAATTTAATATTCTAAAGTATAATGATTTCATTGCTATAAATATCCTATAAAAATGACAACCTCAATGCATTTGCTAAATATATGTATATAAATTAATTAAAAAAATTTTCTTACTCGTTAATTGCTAATCTAGTAGTGTTGGTTGATGTATTTTCCTGTGGGTTGGAAATTGGTTACTAAAAAATGATTCAATTGGAAATGAAACAGTTAGTCTTATCGTGCAAAAAAATATAATTTACTTTATTATTGTGATAATGTTTTTTTAATTTGGTAAAATTTATATACTCAATTAATTTAATCAATTTTTTTATTAGAGTGACATCAAGTGGCAATAACCACCACCATTCTTAAAACACTTATTCTTTTGCTTCTCCTTTGTTAATTTGTTTTCTACTTTTTTTTTGCCGTTGCTGTTTGGCATGTTTTAAAAAAAAAAAAAGGAAGTTTGTGATTTAATCGACGTGTATTAAAGTTTGGCCAGAATTATGAATCAATCACATTAACTAATCATAAAATTCTGAGATCATCAGATCAAAAAAATATTATCATCATAATAATAATCATTTTAATATCAAGACAAGATGGATGAATTCTTCTTGTTATTATCTGGGACAATTCAGAAGCATAAAAAACATGTGTTTTCAAAATAGTTCTCTTTGATCATTAAAATAAAAAAAAATACAAATTTTTTTAGCATCATTGTTACCAATGAATCAGGTAATGTCTGAGCTGCAAGAAAAGGTATAACTGTTAAATTTTCAATATCAGATGCGTTGCACACATTGATCAGTTTACTTACTAAGGATATAGCTGATAGTTTAAAAGCAATTGATGGTAGTAATATCATAAAGATTCACATCTACTAGATGATTATGATGGCTTAAGATAACATCACAAAAAGGTCAATGTTACTTTCAACGATTCTTAACATTGAGATATTAGTGCACCTGCAGTGTACACTATGCACACATTTGTCAGCTAAAAAAACGGTGTTGAAGAGAGCTCACAAAATTTATGTAAAGCAATGATGACAACAATGACTGTTTTGCTAAAAATGACTATTGAAAGTTTAGTAGACATGCTTATACAAAATAGACAAATGACAAAGCAAAACATACTTAAGATAACTGTTGTTTGAGTCATTTCTTCAAGAGACAGCAAGCAATAATGTAGATAAGATAGTAAATACTTTAAAAACATTATATGTACAGTTGTACAATTATCAAATGAGTTTAAATAGTTGCTTATATTATGGATATAGTTTCATCAAATGATATTATTTAGGGTCCTGTCTTAAGTGCTGGAACAATTTAAACCATGATGCAAAAAATTATAGAGCACCAGCATCATTTAAAGAGGTTATGTAATGCCAGAAAAGCTTATGGAATCCTTAGTGTAGCAGAGTCATATACAAAAACTAATTTAGACATTGATAATAAGGCTTTTTAAACCTTAATTCAACAGGGCAAATAACAAATCCACATTTAATATTTTGTTTTAAAAACAATAAACCATCATTATTTATTATTAATAAAAAATTAATTTATAAAAAAATAATAAGATAATAACCATAACTTGATAATTTTTATCAAAATTAATGATTTCTTTTCCAACTTTATTAATTTGAATAATTAGGTACATATATTAATTTGATACCCATTCATCCCATTCAGCTAAAGTCTTATCACTAATATAATCATACCTGCAAATAAACCCCTCTTGCCCAGCTGCAATTATTTGTCTACAAATTGATTTAGTATAAATAAAAATAAAAATAAAAATTAAGCAACCCAAATTAATAATTAATTAAGTTGCTTACTTATAGTCTCTTGTGAATAAACAACATTTCACAGCTTTTGTAGATCTTCTATGGCTTAATTCTGTTACCAGTTTACCTTTTGTAATATTATAAATAAATACACTACCATAACTTGTGCCAACACACATATACTTCCCATCCAAACTATTAAATTAACAATTAAATTAACTTAGTCATCTGTCTACATAAATATTAATACTATAATGGGGTTATGACATGATTTTATTACCTGACATCAAATCTGCATCTATTAAAACAATTATCTTTAATGTTAAAAGTTTTTATAATTTTAAATGTCTCATAATCCCAATGCTCTATTTTATTGTCTATTGATTTAGATATAACACTATCATTTACAAATTTTATTTCATCTAAATAAATAATATTAATAACATTAATAATATTAACATATATGCATCAAAATAATTATGTAGATATAAAAAATACCTATTTGAGTTGAATGAATTTTTTTAAATTTTGTATAAACGTTTTTTTTAGATAAATGTATAGGTTTGTTTGATGTTTCTGTCAGATTTGGTGTATACCATATTCTAATTTCACCTTGATTATTTCCCGTCAAAAAAGTTTGGCCTGTAGGATGCCAACACTTGTAGGTAGATATAGATAAATAGATAGATATATTATTTATATTATATGTATTGATGTACTTATAAATTTTTAATAAATAACACTTACTATGATAAATGCATTTATCTCAATAATGTACAAACATGTTCCATTATCAACATGCCATATTCGAACAGTATTATCCCTCGAGGCAGACATTAAATGCTGATCATCATTTGGATATTTTCGAAGATCAGTAATTGCTCCTGTATATGAATATAATAAACCAATGTTAATACATAAGTCTATTCTATCCAGGTACTTGATTTTTCTCGGAATTTTTTAAAAAAGTAATGCCATGTTTTTTCATTTAAAACTATCCTACCTGTATGTCCATTTAATGTTTTAAAAGTAAGAGAAAATGCCAGGCTGATTAAATATATTTTACCAAGTGTGCCTGCTACTGCTAAGATTGCATCATCTTTTCTGTGTAGCCAACAACAAGTTAATAACTCCTAATATATATTATAAGTGTGTATATTAGTTATTATATTTTGCAACCACTTTTTTTTCATTAAAAAAAAAACCTAATAATGAATAATATACATTTGTTTCTAGATCTATATGTTCACCCGCTACAAAATTTGACATTATATCTAAATGATCACCGCAATGCTCATTGTCATATATACTTGCCTATTCAAAATAAATGAATAAATTTATTTATATATTGTATTCAATATATACAGAAAATGAAGAATTTTACCTGAATGTCTGCAACTGTGGCCAAAATATTACTAGTATCTTTTACATCCCTTATAACGTATCCAAGTTTGTTATATTTTTTTATATACTCGGGACCAATTGGTGCCTCATAATTGTTCAAATTAAAGAAAAGCGATATTTGATTTATGTTTTTCCCATGATTTTCTTTCACAATTCTACGTAAACGAAAATTATAAAACATTTGATCACTGCTATCAATATTCATATTAACTATTTTTTGGACGTGTTTGACCACCACCAATATGATTTGCGTCACACACGAGTTTAAAAAAGATCGTCTATACACCATAAATAGAAAATCCAAGGAAAATAATAATTTAAATTGTTGGGTTAATTTTTTATTAAACAAGAAAATTCTTACTTTACATATTAACAAGAAACTTTCATTTATAGAAGCGTCATGAAAATAGCAACCTCTCATCTTCCCTCAATCAACATTTGAATGACTGATAAGGGAGATATAAGTCTTAGAATACAGTTAGGTGAAATGATGAATAAAATTCAAGAGGTATACCTTTTCTTTTTTAATTAAGGATTAAATAATTCCTTATATTGGTAAATACTAATGACCATTCTTAGATTTTAATAAATCAGTTTGTAGAAACTTGACTAAGATTTCTGCTATGAGATGCATATGTATAAAGATTAATATTAAAAAAATTAGCAATTAAAAAAAAATCTTTTACTAATCATCATTTTCTTTTGACCAATTGTTATTTCAGTGGATTAAGTGCCAGACATGCTGGAAAAGACATTATGTCAAAGACTTAACCACTACTCTATCACATGACTCTTGGTGATGGGTTTCCTTTTAACATAAGTGAAAGTCATTTCAAGTATATATGGCAACATTTTCAAACTTTGCAAACCATTTTTGTCAAAGGAATAATAGAAATATTTACTCATTAAAACATCCTTCTTCTGCTTACAATTTCTTTCTAACAACAGCTTTTAGCAATAAAATAATTGTCAACTTTTAATTATTGTATTTAAAAGAAATTGCTAATTTATTTATGTAATATTAACCTCATTTGAATTTTGAACATGATTAGTATAAATACAATTTTCTTGTAACAAAGGTTGATTGTATTTATATCTTGAATGAAAGCAGATAGTTTGTTCTTTATGATAGGTCAACAGAAACATAAATTTTACAACAATATTCACTTACCAATTAAATGCAAGATTCTACAGATTTATTTGGTGACAAAAATCAAATTGATAATAACAACCACCAGAATAAATCCATTGGATGTAAAAGAAGACACGAAGAAACCTATGATGGTAATAAAATAATGAACATCAAAGAAAAAGATATAGAACAAACAATAGACTTCAAAGATCACCAGAATGAGCATAAATCCATTGGACATAAAAGAAGACATGAAGTAACTAATAAAATAAATGAACATTGGAAAAAAAGACAGAACAAACTTCAAAACAGTGAAAAAAATTGGGATAGGTATATATTCAGGCAACCATTTGTCATTTTAGACCTATATGACACATATTTACATGTGTATATATATGTTACTTTGCATTTTTCATATATATCTCAAATTTTATTTTTTGATAAAATGTTAAACTTACCAATCCAGGCCACCATATAATCTACTATGCTGCCTACTTCAAATGCCGTTATTAATATTAAAACTAAAGCAAAGTTTTGAAGCTAGTGTGAGTGTGCAATTGGAGTTACTTACTTACCAGGTAATTCTTATGTTTGGCACACAGCTGGTCTTACCTTGCCCCCAAATTAAAGCCCATAATTATACCTACTGACCCTAAGTCCAAATATTAATACACATCTGGTTTAGAAAGCTATAGGGGTAGTCACCATTTAGAAGGTTTTGGTTAATATTTTATATATAAAAATTATCTATGCTGATTGATTTTCTAAATAAAACTACTCTTTTAGCATCACCATGACATAAGTGTACTTGTTTATGAACTATGTGAACTTCCATATTGAAAGGGTTTACTGCTTTGTTGAAAATGAGTCATAATGAAATAACACCGCATAAAATAATACATTTTTTTGTTTTAATATGTTTGAATTTGTGATGTTGTTGCCATTTTGAAAATAAGAAATTTACTATGTTATCTTAGTCCTGCCGATCTTATATTACTATATAAATTCATTTTGTTGCACATTTTGCACATTTTTATTAAAAGTTGAAATTATTTATCTTGATAAAAAACTAAATTGATTTTTTTTTAATAATATCTATATTTTTTCAATATCTTAACTAAATTTTGAAACATGACTCGAAATAAATGTTTGTTTCTTACTATTGATTAAATTACTTTGAAATTATAAATCCTGAAATAGTTTTTTGTAGAGTGACAATCAAAACAATTAAATCCAATTGCCTAGTCTCAGTTATGAATAAAATGTTACCTTCAAATGATTTATTGGTGATCTTGTTAATAATTCTAATACATTTTTCACAAAAAATATCTGTTTTTAATTTAATCATCTCATCTTGTAAAACTACCACTTCTAAAGAAGAAGATTCATTAATACTTATACCCTTTTTTTGTTAGTATACAGTCAACCCCCCCTATATGCACCCCCCATAAATGCACACCCTCTCTAAATGCACACTCACACTCATTCCCGAGCTTGGGATTTAAGAGATAAGTGCACCCCTCTATACATGCATTGCATGGTCTTTTTTCATTCCCAACTATATAAAACCACCCTCCCTAAATGCACTCCCGTGACTTCACGTGATATTTGCAATG